TATATTATATCCATGTATTAGATGTGTGTAAAGAAAAACTGTTGTCATTCACAATGTTATGGCATTACTTCAAATTGACTTTAATGGTGTGGATCCGACATAACGTGACGTCCGATTTGTGAGTGAATCGTATTTATTTGCCCACAAGTCTCACACCCGACTGCGATGGCCTGAACTGTTGCGGAGTCGGGTTGTTCTGTGGCTGCGGCCGGGAATTGGTTGCGGCCGACGGCTTATTCGAGTTCGCATCGCCTTCTTCCTCGTCGTCCTCGGGGTTGGCAGTAGTCGGCGGCGGTTCACTGTTTGCAACAGTTTATCATTATATTAACCATTATCTCAATATAACACTATTATCAAATACAAACCATCCAGCTACAGTTGAAGCCAATTCACATCTTAGAGTGTTTGGATTGAAGGCCAGACCTGCCGGACATCTCTGCAGACGGGGATAACCGCCGACACAAAGCCAGTATCGGACACAACTCTTCTCGATAAGGACAGCACCGTTGGGCACATCCTTACAGATTGCTATTCATTTGAAATTATATTAATAAGACTATTAAATGTAAAAATAAAATGCAAAACTAACGGTGCTTTTGACAATCGGGCACATTGTCGGGCCAATCGCAGGAGTGGATCACATCGTTGTAGAGAAGTGAGAATGGACATTGCTGAATTGTGGCCGTTCCGTTCCAACAATGCCAGTATCGGGTACAAGAGGTTGCGTGAGGGAACACCCCGTACTGCCACTGGCAGTTGTCGCCACCAATTGGTTGCTCTGCCCGAGTAATACCAGTTGTATTGTATCATCAAATAAGCAATAATGCGTTAGACTTACGGCCCATCACTCGAGTGCCATCAGGACAGCCAACTCTATGGGGATAATCGCAATTTGTGACGAGTCCTCTCTTATGTCCGGCAAAAGCGAGTCCATTAGGACAGGCCTCGATCACTGCCTCTCCATTGGCGTCACACGTATAATAGTAATCGCAATACTCTTCGTGCGGAAACATTCCGCTATTCTTATTTCTGCACAAAT